TGACCCCCCATGCTCCTCTCAGGGTTTCGGTCATGCACACACACGCACACACATGCACACACATGCACCAGGTGTGATTTTCAAGCTGCTGGGCCAGGACTTGAACCACGAGAGCTGTGGGAGTCTAGTGCCTGAACCACCACACCATCTGCTGACCCCTGTGTTTCTAACACACGAGCGCCCAGCGAGTTACGTGTGCTCGATGATACTTGATTTCTTCGTGTCTTTCCCCAACATAAAATAACATCATTTTTCAGAAAGCGTCTCTCTGAAAGTTCACGGTAGGTTTTATACCTGCATAGACCCTAATTGAAAGCCATTTTGCTAAGTGAAAGTTAACCTAGCAAAGTAAATTTTCTGTATTTCTCCCACACAGAGGCATAGTCAAGCCAACAGCTATGAATAAAGCTGCTGGTTAATTCTCCACGCAATGCCCAGAGGGGACATGTTACAGACAAGTGACACATACCACCTCCCTCCTTTGCCACCCAAAATACAGAAGTTTATCTGAAAGTTGGTGGAATTGTACCAGAAGCCTAGTTAGTGTAAATGGATTCAACTAAGTTCAGGGGGGGGGAAAAAAAAAAGGACAAAAAGGAGAAGCCCGTTCTGCCATGGGCAACTCTGCGGCCCTTGAACACGTCGAGCAGAGGGTCAGGGCAAGGGAACACAGAGCAGGACAGGGGAGGGCTGACCCTGCGTGAAGCGCCACTGGGCAAAGGTGACCGGAGGGAGGCGGTGGCCAGCCGTGGGCGTCGGAAGAAGGGCATTCTCGGGGGAGGGCATGTGGTAAGGCTCTGTATTTACTGTCCACCAAGAGCACATGCCAGACGCCAGGGGCTGGGGAGAACACGACCCAGGCAGAGAGGGCAAGAGAAGCCGGGACCACTGCCGTGAAGGAGGCACACGGGGTGCTGTGACAGCACGAGGCTGGGAGGGCGGTGTCCCCTGACAAGGGCCACGAGGGGCTGAGGGTGCGTCACCTGGGCTGGCGTTCTCTCCTGGTCACTCACCCCGCTCCGCCATGACGACTGAACGCACGCTCCCTGGGGCTGCAGTACTCACAGGGCTTCTCGCCTTCTTTGCCATGGAGAGGTGGTGAGAAGGGGTGTGCTATCGGCAGGGTTTTTTCCTTTGTTGTTCTGGGTTTCCATTCACTCCTTCCTTCCTTCATTCATTGAATTTTGGTTTTTGCCGCAAGGCGCATGCGCTCACCAGATACAGTGAGAGCGGAAATGGGAAATCCTCTCTGAGGGAAGATGGCCACACCGCCATCTCTTCTCCTCCACGCTCCTCCAGGGATTGGGGCACACATGTGCCCTGTACCACGTCAGGGACTTGAACATGGTTGGCCATGGGAGAATCCAGCACTTTAACCACCATGCCACCTGCTGGCCTGGTTTCCATTTATCTGATAAACATTTTTGTGAAGCTTAAGAGAGAGAGAGAGAGAGAGAGAGAGAGAGAGAGAGAGAGAGAGAGAGAGCGTGGGCGGGAGGGGAGGGAGGGAGGGAAGGGAAGGAAGGAAGGAAGGAAGGAAAAAAGAAAGGAAGAAAGAAAATCAAAACCAGTGAACCAGGTGCAAGGGAAGGTAGAAGCCCCTTCAGAGGGGAGTCAGCAAAGTCTCTCTAAAGCTGTGAGGTGCCACGTGGGACCTGGAAGACAAGAGGGCCCACGTGTGCAGAAAGAAGCTTCAAGGGAGAAGAAACGGCAGGTGCCCTGAGGAGGAGGAGACCTTTCAGCCCACGTGAGGCCTGAGGGTCCCAGCATGGTGGGAGTGGAGGTGAGAGGTCGTCAGAGGAGGAATGGCCACGGCGCCGGGCT